CAGTCTAGATTAGAGTAACAGAGAGCAGCAAACAGAAACACTTGTTTCTAAGAAAAAATATGAGACTGCGTCCAATGATAAAAGCAGTCTATGTTTTATAGAGGGAGGCATAAATCATGGTAGTTTCGCTCAGTGGATTAGGTAGCTGTTAAAAGGATTAGAAATGAAGAATTTGTACAAAACAAAATGTTTAAGAGGTTAAGTGAAAAAATAGATGATATATTTATATCTATTCTGTTCACAAGTATGTAGAAGTATATATACATCTGGAGAGAAACAGAGAAAAATGAGAATTGTGGGAATACATGATTTACATTTTATTATAGTTTGTATTAATATTAAGCTCTTAAAAATAAGGAGAAATGCAAAGAATGTGTTCAACTCAAGAGCAAAAACAAAATAAAAAGATAAGGGACAAAAAGAACCAACCTACCTTTCATAAAATTATTTATTGAGTCCTGGAATTTTAGAGATGGGAAACCTCTCCTAACAGGTCTCAAAATTTTTGGTCTCAGGACCTCATTATACTGTAAAAATTATTGAGGACCCCAAAGAGTTTTTATTTATATGGGTTAAATCTGTCAGTATTTCCCTATTAGAAGTTAAAATTGAGACTGGGCATGGTGGCTTACGCCTGTAATCCCAGCACTTTGAGAGGCCAAGGTGGGTGGATCCCTTGAGGTCACAAGTTCAAGACTGGCCTGGCCAACATGGTGAAACCCCATCTGTACTAAAAATACAAAAATTAGCCGGGCGTGGTGGCGCACACCTGTAGTCCCAGGTACTTGGGAGCTGAGGCAGGAGAATTGCTTGAACCTGGGAGGTAGAGGTTGCAGTGAGCCAAAATCTAGCCACTGTATTCTAGACTGGGCAACAGAGCAAGACTCTGTCTCAAAAAAAAGAAAAAAAAGTTAAGAAATAAAAGAAAATTAAGTCACTTAAAATAACATTGATGAACCTATTATATGTTAATATAAATAACATTTTTATGAAAAATAACTATTTCAAAACAAAAATTTAGTGAGAAGAGTGCCATGGTTTTATATTTTTGCATATCTTTAATATTTGCTTCAATAGAAGACACATGGATTCCCATATTTGCTTATCCATTCAATCTGTTGTGATATGCTGTTTTGGTTAAAATTTGGAAGAAAATTTGGCCCCAGACAGCTATATAGTTGGGAAAGGGAGAGTCTTTTAATAGCCTTTTCAGATAATTGTGGCTTTGTCACATTGTCTCTGGAAAACCTCACTGTATACTTTTGAGAGAATGAGATTGAAAAAGACCAATAATGTCATAGTATTATTATGAAATACTCCAAAACTCCATGAAAATGTTTAAATACCTTCCAGGGGTCCCCTGATCACACTGAGAACTGCTATTTTAGCACTTGAAAGATGAGAAAACTGAAACTTGGAGATGTTCAGTGATTTTTTCCAAATTACTTGGTTGGTGGATGACGGAGTGCTTGGACGTGGCTTTGCTAGGTTCATTCCTCGTGTTTTTGGAAAATGTCAGATATGATGTGACTTTAGGACAACTTTTGGAGATTGATCCTGAGTTTATTTATGAGAGTCTTCTGAGATACCAAAATCTAATTCTACCTTGTCATCTTGAAGATTTATGAAAAACTCCATGGCCGGGTGCAGTGGTTCACGCCTGTAATCCTAGCACTTTGGGAGGCGGAGGCAGGCAGATCATGAGGTCAGGAGATCGAGACTATCCTGGCCAACATGGTGAAACCCCGTCTTACTAAAAATACAAAAATTAGCTGGGTGTGGTGGCACGTGCCTGTAAACCCAGCTTCTTGGGAGGCTGAGGCATGAGAATTGCTTGACCCAGGGAGTCGGAGATTGCAGTGAGCCAAGATTGGGCCACTGCACTGCCCTCCAGCCTGGCGACAGAGTGAGACTCCGTCTCAAAAAAAAAAAAAAACTCCATGGTAGGCAAATCAAAACTTTTTAGAGAAAGTAGTATTATAAAAAGGTAATTTTTAACACATGTAAGCTATAGAAATATTAAACTTTGTGAGCCAAGATCGCGCCACTGCACTCCAGCCTGGATGACGAAGCGAGACTCTGTCTCAAAAAAAAAAAAAAAAAGATTAAATTTATGACAAAGGATATGATACATTTAATTTTGTTTGCCACTTTTTACTAGCTAAAAGTTTTCTAGCATCTTCTTCTATCTCAATAATTTTATTATATGTATGTGTGTATATACATATATACACATATATATTTTTTTATATATATGTGTGTGTGTGTGTATATATATATATATATTTTTTTTTTGAGATGGAATCTCACTGTGTCACCCAGGCTGGAATACAGTGGTGATATCTTGGCTAACTGCAAACTTTGCCTCCTGGGTTCAAGCAATTATCCTGCCTTAGCCTCCCAAGTAGCTGGGATTACAGGCACCCACCACCACACCCAGCTAATTTTTGTATTTTTAGTAGAGATGGGGTTTCACTATTTTTGCCAGGCTGGTCTTGAACTATCTGCCCACCTTGGCCTCCCAAAGTGCTGTGATTACAGGTGTGAGCTGCCACACCTGGCCAATCTCAATAATTTTAAATAGACACTTTTGACTTTATCTTGATCTGTTGGTTATTTGCATGTCCATAGAGGCATTTTCCGTATCTGTTCCTCCATTCAAATGTTAGGTGGCATTATGGTTTTTAATGTCATTCTCTGGTTCCTCCCATATTCCACCAAGGTCTCAAACAAGAGTATTCTTGGATCCTGAGATGGAAAACACTTAGGATAACCTTTCTTTAGCCTATTCGAGTAGGCACTTCTCACGCTTCACCATCAGTGCTCAGTAATATGTAGCGGCCCTTTGAATGGCAGCTCCATACCGCCAATTGTTCTGTCAGCCCTTTTGCATTGCTCTCAGCTCCTCCCACCCCCAGAGTAGTTCCATATTAGAAGTTAAATTGAGGAACTGTCAAATTACTTAACTACTTCCTGCTGGCCTGCAGGCTGTCTGGAGGTGAGACTGTCCCTTGGCTTTCTTCGTCTTTTCCAGATTTTTATTGCACAGCTTCTTTCCTGTTGTGCCTTCTACTCTACCTCCCTTTTCTATTCCCCATTTACCAGTTTCTTATTTTAAAGATTATTCTCAATAAGAATTTCTCTCAGTTGCCAGAAAGATGCAGAGGAATAAGTCTGTCTCGTCTGGAGCCTTGTGAGATAGGAACTCTTTTTGTTTGTTTGTTTTTTGTTTTTGAAATGGAGTTTCGCTCTTTTTGCTCAGGGTGGAGTGCAGTGGTGCGATCTTGGCTCACTGCAACGTCCGCCTCCCGGGTTCAAGTGATTCTCCTGCCTCAGCCTCCCAAGTAGCTGGGACTACAGGTGCGTGCCACCACGCCCAGCTAATTTTTGTATTTTTAGTAGAGACAGGGTTTCACCATGTTGGCCAGGACGGTCTCGATCTCTTGACCTCGTGATCTGCCCACCTCAGCCTCCCAAAGTGCTGGGATTACAGGCGTGAGCCACCGTGCCCGGCCAAGACAGGAACTCTTGTTGGGAGGGTCCGGTGGTGGGTCCAATGGCAGCCCTGGGGGCCTCCGTCCTTCAGGCTAAGCACCACAGTGTCTTCACTCCTTGCTTCTGGTTTGTGTTAAATGTATATTTTTAGTGGTAAAAATCAGAGTTATTTTGTAATCAGCCAGCAATATCTTTAGGTCAGCCCTAACCAATTTTATCTTTTCTACCTTCCCCCCTTTAAACGTTGTAAGGGGAAATGCCCATATGTTTTATATCCTGTTCTTCACATTAAGAAAGTTGTGGGGCTGGGAACACAGTTACTTGGGAGAGAGCAAGGTGAAATTCTGGGTACGCTTTTGGCTTCACCCCAGACCCCATCCTGCCTCTGAGTGGTGGGACCAGGACATGGAGGAGGCAGCCAACGGCCATGCACCTGCTGAGTGTGTGTCCTGTTGTCTGAGCTCTTCTTTTGGAACAATTTGAAGCGAGGTTTTCGTGTCTGGGTTACGGTCATGGAACTCTCTTGTTGAGTTGGGTGACCCTGGACTTTCAGCTCCTTTTTCCTTTTTCTTTGGAGCTGGAAAGGTATCATGTGGGCTGGAGAAAATAAAAAGAAAATTCATTAATTTGAAATACTGTGGAGAATTTGTTCTCTCTATATTATATAACTCTATTTCTATCTTATCTTTCTAGACTGCTTTCTAATTTGGTGTCTACGTGGGACATATTATTTCAGTGTTTCATATACAGTGGAAGCTTACTATATATTTGTTAAAAAGAGAAATAAAGATAGAACAGACAAATGCAGTCTAGCTAGGGCGATGGTATAACAGGAGCATTGTGATGGGCATTTGGACATGTAGGTTCCAATCTCATCCTTATCATAACTACCTCTGTGATTTTATCAAATTATTTAAACTAAGCTTCTCTTTTCTGTTCTGTAAATGAGAAAGTTGTTAAATGATGTCTAGGTGTTTGCCCTTCAAATTACGACTATTTTTTTCAATAGTTACTTATCAGATACATGTCAGGCACTGTTAGGAGAGCTAGAAATATGGTGGACAACCAGCCACAGTCCCCGCTCTCGTTGATGTTGCTTTATACTTGGGTGTGGGCTGTCTTCTCTCCCCCACTGGGTAGCAGAAATAGTAACTCGAAGGACAGTCTTGGATTTGTGTCTGATTTGGGCCAGGCCACTACAAAACCTTTAAATGCTTTATTTTCCTATCTGTAAAGTGAAGATAGTCATATCTAACCTAGTTTACCTTATATAGTTGACTAAAATAAAATAATGTATGTGGAAATACATTTAAATATACTAATAGTAGTAGTGTAAAGTACAGCATGTAGTAGTGTCTGTAGAAATGTGAAATATTTTATTTTGCTGTGAAATTTACCATATAATTCACTAAAGCTTGGATGGGAAAAATCCTACATTAACTTAAACTTGGAGTTTGGAAATTGTTTAAAAATTTAAAGTATATTTGTTTTTCTTCTTTTTACAGAGAAAGATAATGCTAAATATGTTTTTAGACACGATGATGGCTGACCCTCCTCCCCAGTGCCTTGTCTGGCTACCTCTCATGCACAGGCTTGCCCATGTTGAGAATGGTAAGCAGAACTTTTATTGTTCAATTCCTCATGCTGTAGAAAGTATAGGAACTGATTATTTGCAATGTCCTTAGCTATTAATATCATTGAAAATTACAGTTGACATTTGCTGTCACTCTGTCATTTGATTTTGTGGTTTTGGCTTTCAGAAGAATATTTCTTTCAAAAAAGGGAGGATACTTACTACTTTTTTTTTTTTTTTTTTTTTTGAGACAGAGTCTCACTCTGTTGCCCCGGCTGGAGTGCTGTGGTACAATCCTGGCTCACTGCAACCTCTGCCTCCCGGGTTCAAGCGATTCTCTCATCCCAGCTACTTGGGGGGAGGCTGAGGCAGGAGAATCGCTTGAACCTCAGAGGTGGAGGTTGCAGTGAGTTGAGATCGCGCCACTGCACTCCAGCCTGGGCAACAGAGTGAGGCTCTGTCTCAAAAAAAAAAAAAAAAAAAAAAAAAAACCAGAAAGGATACCAAGAAGTCATATCAGGTCATACAACTTGAACTATAGACTTTTCCTGCCTAAGATTCCAGATGATTGTTTTCTGTTTGAGCCCAGCTGCTTTTTAGCCATTACTTCCGGTTTCCTCTTTGATTTATCAAACTCATAGCTCTAAAAAACTGTATATATGCTATATCAGCTGCTAAAACTATAATTATTTTGGAATAATTTAAAGAAAAATAGCCAAGATATAATTTAACAGTGGGTTCCCTTTTTTCCCCCATTTTTTTCCTTTACCATTTTGCCTTGAAACTATTCTTGGTGTCCCTCCCAGTAATTTGACATAAATCTTTGTTTTGCTTTGAGTTAAAATAGTACTTATCTCTTAGTGACTTCTTAATTTTTCCTGCTTTTGCCATCAGTGTATCTCCTCCTTTAGGTTGGTGGAGTTTGTTAAAGGGAAGGCCATCGCTTTTCTAGTAACCTTCCCTCTCTCCAGGCTCTTGCCTTTCTTCATTCCTCAAAAGAGAACAAGGAAGAGCCAAGAGTCCGCTTTTAATAAACATCCATACTGTTTTTATTTTCTTGCTCTCATATCCATACTTTAAAATAAATTTTTCTCAGCCTTTTACCCAACTATGGCTTTAGTTCACAAGTACCTCAGATTAAGGATTCGTTTCTTAAAGGACCAGACTCTTTCTAGACTAAAACAGCACAATTTTTAAAACAAGATTCTTGGATGGATTTAAATTTTGGAGAGCAATGCTTTTATAGCCTTGTTTTAATAGTTTTATGTCCAATTGATTTTCATAAAATCATTTTGTATTTGCCATACCAAGTAGAAAGAGCCTCACTTGTCAAGATATATAAGATATATTATTATCCATATGCCTATGAACATTTTTTGTGACTTTTATGAAGTATATAATTTATTGATTACATTCTTAATGTATGTGGTTTGTAGTATTTTTATCAGAGACAGAAATGTTATAAAATATTTAAAATATCTAGAAATAAAAGGTTACCTATCACACTAATATTTTTCAGTATGTCAGTTTTAATGGTGAGAAACAAATTATAAAATTATGGTATTTATGGTTTTTTTTGGTTTGGGCTTTATGAAGTTCATCATGAATTATACTGACATTATATTGACATAACTATGCATAAGGAGAAATATTTATTCACGTAAGCAAAAGTTGCACTTTATACATTGATTTACTAATCCAAGTGTATAGTATATAAGAAGGTAACTACTAAGTGATGCACTTTACCAAAATAATACTTTTACCAGAACCTGAACAGTCCTTCTCTTTCTTATTTATAATTGACCCAACACACTTGTTAATTTTTTCATCATTCTGGTTCTCTACTTTTCCACCTGTCACCCATTCCACTGACTTAAGGATTGGCTCTTGACTGGTTTGGAAGAGAACACAGGAGAATCACATAGACATATTTGTTCAACCCAAATTATCAGAATGTATTTGATAATTTAATACTAACATACATATATCTTTTAATATTAACCTAAATTACTTAGAACTATAAATACTGGCTGCACAGATGTTGACCTCATTGACGTTTGCTGAGATTGAGGGAGACCTGTTCTCTGGAGGAACTATACTAGGCTGTATAGTTAATTTGAACACATGCTCTTAATTAGCATTTCCAGCATTCCTTAGAAACACTTTGATGGCAAGAAACTGAATTTCTTAGAAGTAATATCCTTTGGATTTCTCATTATTAAGTTTAGTTTTCTTCTGGTCCCTAGTGATAATGTTATATAATCTTGCTATATAGTTTTTCTCACCTCATACTCAATGTTTTTTGAGTCTTGATTCACTAGTTAATATATATTTTTGGAAGCAGGTCTAGAAGTCCCTATAATTGAAATAAGATTGTGGTCTTACATATATAATGCTGGAAAGAGTTGTTCAGTGAAGATTTGAGTATTCTATCCCTCTTTTCATTTTCTTTTTTTGTTTTGTTTTGTTTTTGAGACGGAGTTTCGCTTGTTGCCCAGGTTGGAGTGCAATGGTGCGATCTTGGCTCACTGCAACCTCAGCCTCCCAGATTCAAGCAATTCTCCAGCCTCAGCCTCCCGAGTACCTGGCATTACAGGCACACACCACCATGTTCAGCTAATTTTATATTTTTAGTAGAGACAGGGTTTCTCCATGTTGGTCAGGCTGGTCTCAAACTCCTGACCTCAGGTGATCCTCACGCCTTGGCCTCCCAAAGTGCTGGGATTACAGGCGTGAGCCACCACGGCTGGCCTATCCCTCTTTTCTATTAACTTCCTTTTCTTGTGTTCAGAGTTGAATTGTCAGAGAAAACAATCATGCTACCAACATTTAAAAGTATAAATAGTGATCTGTAACATACAGTTGTGTATTGCCCTTGATAGTACACTGGAATGATTAGATTAGAATCAGTAGTCTGTGTTGAATTTTTTTTCTGATGTCTTAAATCTTTTCTTTTCTTTTTTTTTTTTCTAGTAAATGGCTAGTTAGACTAGCAAACAATTTAGATTCTTTAGTTGTAATTGTGTTTTGTTTTGTTTTTGAGACAGAGTCTTGCTCTGTCACCCAGGCTGGAATGCAGTGGCGTGATCTCCACTCACTGCAACCTCTGCTTCCTGGGTTCAAATGATTCTCGTGCCTCAGCCTCCTGAGTAACTGGGATTACAGGCATGTGCCATCATGTCCAGCTAATTTTTTTGTAATTTTAGTAGAGACAGGGTTTTGCCATGTTGTCCAGGCTGGTCTCGAACTCCTGGTCTCAAGTGATCCGCCCACCTCAGCATCCCATAGTGCTGGGATTACAAGGGCGAGCCATCGCATCCAGCTCTAATTTTGTTTTTACCTTTGTTTTTATATTAGATTTGGTATTCCTCTGTATTGACTTTATTCTCCAAATGAAAATTTATTCTTTCTTCTTTTATTCCATCCCTTCTCTCCTGCCCTTTTTCTTCCCCTTTTCTCTCCTGTTCACAAGTCTTCCATCCTGTGGAGTGCTCCTACTGCCGGTGTGAGAGTATGATGGGTTTCCGGTACCGATGCCAGCAGTGCCACAACTATCAGCTCTGCCAGAATTGCTTTTGGCGTGGCCATGCCGGTGGCCCTCACAGCAATCAACACCAGATGAAGGAGCATTCCTCTTGGGTAATGGCTTTGTGTTTCATCTGTGTCCCTGAATGTTAACCTGTTTTATCAGTAACAGCACCTGGGCCACTTTCCTCATGGATGCCTACCAAATAAGGATGTGGTGTAGTAAAATCTTAACACTAACATTTATGCCAGGGTTGCAAAAATGTTGTGCTTCCTCACTTGATTTTAAAAGCAGAATTTTAAAAAATTCCAGGAAACAAAGACAGTACGTTTGAAATGGTCTCTTTTATTCAGTAAAATGGAATGTTGCAATGCTCTCTTTCCTAAGCGAAAAGTGGGTTTCTTCTTATTTTAAAATTGTACAGGCCAGATGCAGTGGCTTACGCCTGTAATCCCAGCACGTTGGGAGACTGAGGCAGGCGGATCATGAGGTCAGGAGATCAAGACCATCCTGGCTAACATGGTGAAACCCTGTCTCTACTAAAAATACAAAAAAAAATTAGCCGGGTGTGGTGGCTACTTGGGAGGCTGAGGCAGGAGAATGGCGTGAACCCGAGAGGCAGAGCTTGCAGTGAGCAGAGATTGTGCCACTGTACTCCACCCTGGGTGACTGAGCGAGACTCCTTCTCAAAAAAAAAAAAAAAAAAAAAAAATCTTAAAGTTCTTTTTGCAAGCAAAATTTCCTCACATTTATAGGGTTTAAATGTTGCAAGGAAAGTTGTAGAAAATAGAAGAGTTAAGTATTTATACTTGTAAAGTTGGAAAAAACATTGTATTTTACGGCCATTGCCACATTGGTGTCTTTACCTTCAAAAGTAGTTTTTAAAATAATAATATCTTGGCGGAAGTCAGTATCTGATTTTTCTGTGGTTCTTATAAATTATGTAACATGGTTATCATCAATTATTTTCCTTCCTTTCTCTCAGTTTATTTCCAGAGTTTTAAAAATGCCATATTTTCCTTCCAAAAAGTTGCTACAGCCTTTGTTTTAAAACCTTTCCTCTAGTTTTTGTTTGTTGGTTCGTTTGCTAAAAGGTAGAAAAACATGTAAGGTCAGAAGTATAATTCAGGATCTAGGTTCTTTAGCCTGGTTATCCTGTTGGCCTTCAAGTATTAGAAAGCTTTAATAACCAGTTTTTATTTTCCCTTCGGTTGTCTTAAAACTCAACCAAGAGAAAGCAAATAAACTCACATCAGGAATTAAAGAAAAAAACAAAACAAACTTCAGCCCACATGTACACTTAACTAGTTCCTTCATCTCTGAAAATCTGTTAAAGATCCGTTTTTTTTGTTTTTTGTTTTTTTTTTACTGGATAGGTTTCTGTTATACTTAACGATAACATTTTGTTAAACTGAATATCCTATCCTGGGTCTTGTTGTGTTGTGAATTCAATTTTTTTGGTGGCTGTTGTGTTGAAGAGCCACTTTTAAAATCCAAAAAAAAAAAAAAAAGGAAAAAAACACAGTAGTTTCTTTTCTTTTTCATTGAATAAAGATAATTTACAGATTTTCAAATTGTTTCTTTTTGCTTTCTTAAAAGTACAGGTACTTCACTATGTTAATTGTTAATGTTTTTTCCACTTTGTGTGTGTGTATGTGTGTGTGTAGTGTCTTAACTCTTTACACTGGGATAGTTTTTGCTGTTTTACCTTTCATGATGACTGAGTTTGCTGGTATATTTCTACTGAAAATTCTCATTCTGGATGTTGGGACTAGAAGAATGGGGAACTTCTTATTCCCCCTGGTTTGAACTTCCTCATTTGACTAACCTATAACCCTTTTAAAAATGGGGATTTTGCATTTATTTAGAGACAAGTGACTGATACTGCTTTGTGATTTGCATGTTTTCATCTACTCTTGAATTTTTTCATTGGTTTATAAGATACATACAGAAAAGTCTACAAATCACAAATGAATTCTTATATTTCTGTTTGACCCTCACAGCACTCTTGTGAACTAGATCTTATTTCCATGTGTTGTTATTCTTATTTCAGTTTTTTTGTTTTATAAATTCTTTTATTTTTGTTAAAGTGACTTAATTTTTTTTTAAAAATCAACTATTGTTATCCCGCATAATTTTGAAGCTAGTATATAAACGTGTCATTTCTGAATTTTGATGGATGTGTGCCTTGCATATGGTAGATGTATACTGGTAAGGTCTTTTAGCAGTATGTGTAGGTGTCTGGATGTAATTTCTTTTCAAAGTTAAGATTCTGTACGTGCTGAGCTCTTGCTCTTTGAGGAAGATGTGGTTGAAGCACATCTTTGCTGAGCAAAGAGGTTTCCAGCTAACAAAAAGATGTGCTATCAATTTAACAGTAATTTCTTTGCGATTGTCAGCTGTGTTTAGACTGATATTTTGAAAAAAGTTTCTATATGCTCACACGTGAGTTTGAGCGTGTGTTTAACCAGCTGGTATATGAATTTTCATTGTAGATGTGATATGTGAGTTTTAAGTAGTACCTGGAAGTTTATTTTGATTTTTGCAAAAATTTCTGTTGAATGTTTTATCTCAGTAACTATGCAGTATAATTCATTATTTTAGTCCTTGGTCCATTTTGTTTGCCTTTGTTACAAAGAAAATGCCATATGGTACCATATCTAAGATTCATCCTGTCTGTTCATTCTTTCATTCAAAATTTATTTTTTAAGCACCTACTGTGTGCCAAGTCCTGTAAGAGGTATTTGGGATTCATCTATGAACAAACTAGACAAAGACTCCTGCCCTGTGGAACTTAAGTTTTAATGAGTGTGAAAGAGACTGCTGGAGCTTGTTAGCGTTACTCTTTTCCTATTCTTGTTGGCACGTGTCTAGACTACACATTTCAGCCTTCATGTAGCTAAGTGGAACCATGTGAATAGTTCTTGCCAGTGGAATGAAAACAGAATGATAGGTGTCTTTCCAGAAGAAGACAGTTAATAAATAACAGGGTGCCTTCTCTACCCTCTCTGCTATCTTGGTGTAGAGAATGTCATTAGGACCCAGCGGAGGGTGAAACCATTAAGCGAAAGGAAACTGGGTCCTTGAATGGTGGGTGGAGAAGAATATCCAGCAACCCACTTGACTGTGATAGGAGCATGATAAGAACTTTGTGTTAAGTCACTGAAGTTTTAGTACTAGAAGTAGATTTCTGTTAAAATCTTAAAATGTATGGCTTTGTCTTAGCAGTCATGTGGCACACTTGATGAGGAAACTGACAATGGAGAGGGAAAGTCAGAAACCCATGTTTGTATATAGTGGTAACCAGTTTGGTAAATGTGTCATCTGTGATCATTTGGAAGGCACACCTCACACCCACCGGGCTGTAGGTCAAGTGTTGGAAAAGATCAGAATGTGAGACTGTTAATGGTAAGGTGACATAAGATAGAGATGAGTTCAGAAAGAATTGGCTAGTGCGCAAGCAATAAATGAAAGGGACCGGAGAAAGCTCTGACTCTTGGGGCAGTGAAAGGAAAAACAGATTACTTCCAGACCCTAGAGAGAAAGCAAAACAGTTGAGAAAGGCTTTAAACAACAAAATCCTAGTAGACCTTCTCAGTTGAAAAAGGTGACTAGTCCTATAGCAAAGATCAGATTAAGGGTATGGGCTCTTGTGCTTGGCTGCTTATCAGAATCCCCTTGGTTCTGCCTGCAGAGATTTTGATTTATTGGTCTGAGGTACATGAAACCCTGTACATAGACTGTTTTTAAAAGTTTCCAAAGTGGGCCAGGTACGGTGGCTCACGCCTGTAATCCCAGCACTTTGGGAGGCCAAGACGGGCAGATACCTGAGGTCAGGAGTTCAAGACCAGCATGGCCAACATGGTAAAACCCTGTCTCTACTAAAAATACAAAAAATTAACTGGGCGTGATGGTGGGTGCCTGTCATCCCAGCTACTTGGAGGCTGAGGCAGGAGAATCGCGTGAACCCGGGAGGCAGAGATTGAGTTTGCAGTGAGCCGAGATCATGCCATTGTACTCCAGCCTGGGCAAAAAGAGTGAAACTCCATCTCAAAAAAAAAAAAAAAAAGAAAGAAAAAATAAAGTTCCCCAAGTGATTCTATCATACAGTCAAAGCCAGAAGCAACTGACCTTTTTCATATGGCCTCCAGGTGGCTTCTGTTAGTTGAAAGCAAGCAGCAAAGAAATACATTAGTCTTAGGAAAGAACTTTTTGTGTGTGGTTACTGGCACATGGAATCAACTGGAAACAAATAGATCAAAGGCCTACTAAGTTTCTGAGGGAATTACATTGGCAAAGAAATTATGAGACTGAACTGAACAAGCCCTTAACTATTTGAGCTATAAAACTACTATTTAAAAAAAAACAAAAAAAACAAAAAAAAAAACAAACCTCTGAGAACTTGGCCTGGCAGGATAGGTTGATGGGTTGTGAAGGTTGTGCAGCCCCTCTGGACGGTATACCAGAGCCCACCTGGCCAAGAAGGATATTGGGTAAGGAAGAAGCTCCTGCTCCGGCTCCACCATTGTATACTGGGAGCAGGAAGGGAAGGTGCATATATATATATGTATATATATTTTTTGGCGACGGAGTCTTGCTCTGTCGCCCAGGCTGGAGTGCAGTGGCGTGATCTCGGCTCACTGCAAGCTCTGCCTCCCGGGTTCATGCCATTCTTCTGCCTCAGCCTCCCGAGTAGCTGGGACTACAGGTGCCCGCCACCACGCCCGGCTAGTTTTTTGTATTTTTAGTAGAGACGGGGTTTCACTGTGTTAGCTAGGATGGTCTCAATCTCCTGACCTCGTGATCCACCTGCCTCAGCCTCCCAAAGTGCTGGGATTCCAGGCGTGAGCCGCCGCGCCTAACCTGGTGCAGATAGTTTTGCGTTTTTAGTTCACAGATTGCATCTTAAGGAGTTCCACATGATCTTTATGAAGAAGACTATGCCATATCCAGAGATCCTGGATGCACCGACTGAATCGGACTGCACGTGTTCTGCCTGGACATGTGTGGCATGGTGGGAGGAGGCAAGTGTGCTCTGTGTATAAGAAAAGGGAACAAAAAGGTACTTGGTGATTGAAGTTTCGCTAATATCCATGGTTTCCTTTGCTTAAAT